CTGAGCTAGAATAGAAATGGCATGTCCTTTAACCTTAAGCACAAAAAGCTCTCAACAGACTGCAGTTTTTATATCCCTGGATGGAAGTTTGGGCCCCTGATACTTAAACTTGGTGCACATACTGGGTTTCTGGCAGGCTTTTGCCCATACCCATCTGCTAGCCTGGCACTATGCCCACTCAGAAGGTGTGATGCCAGTTTCAATAGGGCATAGGTGCCAATCAAAGATGGGTTTGGAGGGGCAGCATGCAGAACGCAGCAAAAGTCAGCTCTCCTGCCAGAAGATCCTCCTGTTATCATATAATGCCAATGAAGGGCCACATGCTTCATTGCTTGGGATCACATTGCATCTGAAGATGTTTCTGGCCTTCAATGGATGTCATTCTACGGAATCTTTTTTCTCACTGGAAATGTTAGAAAAAAAGAGTCTACCTGACTAAGTGAAGGCCATCCTTTTAAAAAAAACAATGGGTATCTTCAACAACTGTCTTGGAATAACGGCTGAATTTTCTTTCTTTTCTCTTAAAATACTCTTACACTTAGACTACTGCAAAGTGTACTCAGTCTATGGAATGGAGCTATAGGGGACAAACATTCTGAAGAAGCACTAATTACGGAACCAAGGACATAAGCAGTATAAAACCCATAAACATTCTTGTATCACTGTTAAATGTGAATGGTGGACAAATTGTCATCATCCAAGTAGCTCATTTCTAATGAGTTCTCCCATTTAGAGTGTTGGAATTTTACTTTTCATTTATTTTATAAACACAGATACTCTTATGTCTTAGAAGAAGGACCATACCTCCTACTATTTATTCTTCTTCTGTATCTAAAGAAAAACCCTGAAAACACTTCAGAAGCAAAAGTCTATCCATATTTCATAAGGAAGCCAGAAGCTCTCAAAGACTGAGAATTCTTTTATTGTGTGGCAAGAGAGGTGAGCTCATTTCATGAAGAAGACACATCCTTATAGCAATAGGTTTCAAATTTTAAAACCTTGACCACTGTAAACAGTTACAAGATAGTAACAGGTGCAGTGGAAGAGACATTATATATAAATCACTGAAGAACAGAAGAGTTTGTAGATCTTCCCTAAAGCAAGGGAGTTTAACAGCAAAAATGTTGAAAATGAAAACCATAATATAAATATGTTAAAAAGGTTGGGCACTTAAAAAAATGAAAAATACAAGCAAAGGCTAAGCCTTAGAAGAACTCTCCTTTTTTACACAAAGAAGGCAAACTTTTGTAAATACTTAGGTTTCTTAACTGATAGGTAAATAAACAGTGCTCTCTCTTTAAAAACTCAAGCTTAATAGCCTGTGGACAACACATGGAAAATTAAAATACAACTTCCAGGGACTTTTATTTCTTATGTATAGGACGATCCAGTTATTAAATTCACAAAATCCAAGTGATCCCTTCCTCGTTTGAGTTTATTTCACCTGTTATCTCGCTACACCATCACCCGTGAACTAATTTATCACATATAATTTCTAGTACAAGTATCCTCGTTTCATGTTATTTCCTTCATCTTTTCACCCCCACTATATCATTTGCAAAATGTCTTAGTAACAGTTGTGGTGGCACCATAATGTTGCACTGTGTCACATGAGCCTAACTGCTTATCTCAAAGCCTTCTCTGTAAAACTCTGCCAGAATAACATTTAATACAGCACTGTGTAATGAAGCAATATGTGCTCCAATAAGTGCACTTTGTTGATAACTTATCACTAGGGCTCTTCTGGACATTATTCTGCATATCTTAAAAATCAATCCATTAAAGCTGACTAAAAAATAAGTAAAAACCACATTGGCATAAACTTTTCTATTTCTTCATAAGTAGAAGTCTGTTTTCTTAATAATCAAATAAGTGAGTTAAATTTTGATAATTTCTAAAAATCCTAGTATTCCTACCCACTTTCCTCATACACATACCCCCTCAAAAAACATTTCCTCTATGTTTCTAAAGATCAAAATTGAGCTAATCGGAGAGCATGACCCAAAAAATGTAATGATGGTCACTTAGATGAATTCTAAATACTTATCCACAGATAAAGGGCTCAGTCAAAAGGCTCCACTAGAGTTCATTTTAGTTATGGTAATATATTCTCACTACCAATAAAGCAGACACAGATTCTCTCAGATGACATCATATTTAACTTGCCCCCGCTTTTCTTGTGACTCCAAGATTACAGGCTGGAATTAACGGTGACACCTATAATTATGGAAGAGATTACAGCAAACTGGCTTGTATGGGTTAAATATCCCAACCTCAGTCTCAATCTCTCAGGCAAATCACTCTTGAACATCTACTCTGTGCTTGATAATCTAAAGCTGCGAAATAATCATCGCTATGCCCAACTTCAAAAAACTAAAACTTCCACAGAGAAATCGATTCTATTTTTATTCATATAAGTCTTCAAAGGAATTTTGGCTGAAGTTTATTACCTATGATTCTGTTTTTCTCGATTTCTGACTAACTTCTGAGACCCATTAGCTTTCACATCTGGAGCAGGTAAGATAGCTTAAATGAGAACTTTCCACTGTGTCATCGTGGCTACTATCGTAAACTTTAAGGGTGAGAAGAGTTATCAGTCAGTAAGTAAAATGTCACAGTCTTCCACTGACATTCTCTATGTTCTTAGTTATACCACATTAGTAGCTAAATCCATCACAACCCTTGGCAGGATAAATGTAAAACCCCTTCAATAGATGTCTCTGTCACTACCCTCAGCCATCCCGTGGCACCACACACTGAACCAACAGTTCAATTATCACTGAAAATGGGAAATTCTAATTAAATGCACAAATTAATTTGTTTATTAATTTAAGTGCTTTTAAAGCATTTAAGTGCTTCCCAAGTCCTAAATTATTTAAAACATTATCTCAATCCTCACAATTAATATTATCCCAATGACACAAAACAGAAACAGACTCGTGACTAGGTTCAAGTCACGCTTAGTAAGGTCAGAATTCAACCCAGATTTGCCAAACACCAAGACCCACGCTCTCACTTATGCAATTCTATGACGGTACAATTCACACTCAGTTCTCTCTCTCCCTGTAGAGTTTTAGAAACTTTTCCACTTATTTTATACTAAAATGACCACAATATTTCCCATCCCCTAAACCAGTTTCCTTTTTTCTCTCTCTCTTTTCATATACAAAAAAGAACCTTGGCTTTGTTCTTGTATTCAAACTTTTCCCTCTTATAACTTTGACTATTACTGCTCCAGGCACATTTTTCTTCAAGCCAAGATTACACAACAAACTTCTCCGCCCTTTGCTGATCACTGAAAGGTCTTAGCTATTGGTCTCAAAGCTACAGGACAGTTGTACATGTACAATGAGTTAGACATAGATGGATGCCAGCTTTTCCTCAGCCTCAGGCAACAAATGCTGATGAAGTGTCTGCCGACACAGTGTATCTGGAAAGAACAGTGCCAGAAATGAATGCAGCTGGACACAAGGTATTAAGGAAAAGTTGAATTTACCAGCTTCTTCATTTATATACAGAAGTGATGAGAACCAAGGTAAAATGCAAAAGCATGATATAATTTCCTAAGGATTTGCTTAGATAGCTTTGAAAAGAATCAATACAAACTAGTTTAATGAAGTTATTGCTGATGGCATCTCACTAAAAAGCTGATTCTATGATTCATGAGTGCCACTTGTGATGGAACAATGACAACATTTGCAAAGAACACAGAGCTTTATTATAGATTTGGAAGTATGGAGCCTTTTCCTCAAATAGCTACACTTTTTTTAATGGTCTTTCCCCACTGATATTCACTTGCTAATATTGCCAGGATTCAGGTTCTAAAATTCAGATGGTGGGAGGTATTGCATACATATAGAACCTTGAAAATTGCTGTACAACAAATACTGTTTGGTAATGAGAAAAAAATAAGTAAAAAATATGTGGCATGTTTCTTAGACTGAAAGAAGCAAAAATATTTCTGTATTTGAAAAGACACAAATACGTTACATGCCTGAGCAAATTCTTTTTCACCACACAAGTAGTATGTGCACATATATATGTACAGATATAGCTATGTGTATAGACATACAGTAACTTTAAACATCTACTTAAATTTAAATACATATCCTCATATATAATATTTACATTTTAAAAAGAGAATAAGATCATTGCAATCAATGTTTTTCTGTAGTTCTTTGAAATTACTCAAATAATTCAAACAGAAAACTAAAAGTATGTCTGATCAGCTGTGGGGTCCAAGAAAATCATAAGGAAGAAAAAATACATTTATAGTATTTATTGAAAAAATTTCCAGTATAAGCGGACCCACGCAATTCAAACACGTGTTGTCCAAGGTTTAACTGTATTATGAGCTGAAGGGACTTGAAAACCAGCACATGCAGGGAGAGGCTTTCTCTGCTCTCCCATTATTTCCCTAAACACCGATCTTCCCAATTAAACCTCAATTGTTATCAATCTCCTCCAGGGGAATTTCATCAGCCAGGAGAAACTATCACTGGAGAAGAGATTAGCAATTGACACCACTCTCAAACTTTGTCACAAACTGTCATATCCCCCACCTACTCTTCTAAGGGCTCATTCATCTTTCCTAAAAGTCATCTACTCTCCCTTAAGTGGCCTACATCCCTTCTCCTGTTCCCTATTAAGATGGTATATAGATTCTCAAATCTCACTACTTTTTGGGACATTCACTTTTTTTTCTATAACATCCCCATGTACATAACATTAAAAATTAATAAATTTGTATACCTTTTCTTCTGTTAACCTACCTGTCAATTCATTTCATAAACCCAACTACAGAACCTAGGAGGGCAGAGGGATAGTCTTTCCTCCCCCACAGTTTGAAATGTTTAATGAGGAACCCAAGATTCTATTAAGCATTAACTATCTTCATATCACTTAATAAAACACATTTATTCAATTTTATTTCAAAGTTTCAATTTCAAAATATTAGTCACATACATAAGAATATATGGTAATTTATAGTTATACTTTACCTAAATATATCAATCCAAATCCTCCAGAACCAATCATCTTGCCCAGCACCCATTGTTTTCCTTCCATATCATCCAGAACCTTGCCTTCTGGAAGCGGAACAGGAAGTTTGTATTTCTCATTTCTTCTTGGTGGCATCACTTCTGCTGACAGAAGGGTCAGTGGTTAAAAATAAAAACATCAGCGACAAAAAAATTCCAGTTAAAATACATTTCTCAAAATGTCTTCTATGGGGCACTTTCCCAGGTTTCTAGAAATTAGGATTCTGGAGTCAATTGGGTTTGTTCAAAGTGAAGATTCACATACATTATAACACTGAAATGTAAGAGGTGCTGGTATTTAAAAAACAAGCCTGTTGAACTTAACATCTCCAAAATTCCTTTGGGGTCTATAATATCTAGTCACACCTTAAGAACTGAGTTAACAATTTCCGATGACAAAGAGAAAAAAATGTTTCACGTGCTCCTTTCATTGAGAATGCTAAGCGTCAAAGATGAGGTCCCGGGTCACTAGGAAAAAATACAGCTAGGGACTGGGAAAACCACCAAGATGGCAACGTTCCTCATCACCAAACACAGCAAGTGACAGCGTATTTGTTGAAGAGGCCTCACGGTTTATAATTTAGCAGAAGGCTGGGCCCCCGGAGTTCCAGGCCCGCACACTCTTCCAGCTTCCTCCGTTTCTCCACCCCGTCCCTCCCCGCCCCCCCAAGGAGAACGCCCGCCTGAGAGACTAACGCGGTGCTGCGACGGCAAGAGCGCAGGCGCCACAGTAGTCACACAACTTTAATCAGTTAATTATCACTGTACGCAGGTTAGTGAACTTCACAAGAGATCTTGAGCTGGAAGAGAGAATTTCTTGGGGAGGAGGGGAGGGAGGGGCAGAACATATGCCTGGAACGAATTTAAATGCGATAACGTCAATCCTATATTTCCGAAGAACTTTATGTGTTGAGTGCTTTTGAATGAAAGCTCATGTCAAGTTCTCATTGGATCACCTTCCCATCTTCCGAATGAGAAAGTTTCAGTTCCTTTTCATAGGTTTTCTGCCCTTCACTGACTTCAGCCCAGTGCCCCGCTGTCATTTCCTCAGCAGCAAGGTCCCTGGTGGAGCCCAGGAGCGCGGGTGAGAGCTTTATGACAGTCACCTGTCCTCCTGCCGGGGCCACGGGGGACGCTGGGCAGGCGGAGGGCGAATAAGCCTCAAGTAAAAAAAAGTTTCGTGAGGGCGCCCCCTTGACCGGCACTTCATATACAGTATATCTGCCGGCTTCAAACCTAAACCCGCCAAAGAACCACCTCCAGCCGCGCAACAATTCTAAAGAAGCCCACAGAGGATACAGGCAGTTGGGGGCATCAGAACTTGAGACCCGAAGCGTCACTGACTCTGAAACGCACATCCCGGTCCCCGGGGTCCCTCCTGCTCCCGGCTTCCTCCTGGGCTGTGAAGAAAGGCGCGCAGCAGGAGCTTCCGGGACGGACGGGCACCTAGCGGCCTGAACGCTCGCGAGGACTGGGCGCGGGGCCC